CCCCTGGGGAGGCACTGGTGGGTGGGGGACTGTGGACAGAAGCCACTCTCACAGTGGCCTGGAATACAGCAGAGACTGCCTGGCCAGGGCCACATGGAGACCTCTGTCCTGACCCTCATGGGGTTCTTGCTTCTGCCCTTGAGCTTATTCCTCACTGCACTGCACATGCCCCTAAGCCCGTGCTTTGGTCTTCTCTGCGTGGGGAGTGCCTCTCCCTCCCCATCTTTTGGGGAATGCCTGTGCACCCTTCAAGGGCCAACTCCCAGAGTCACTGCTGCCCCTTCCAGGAATCAGTCCTTGACTCACTTCATGCATTATTCATCTGGTTGCTCATTTATGCATTCGGCAAACAAGCTGAATTCCTGTGTCCACACTTCCTTCGTGGTGTGTAAGCAGGTTTGCTAATGCCACTGATTGCATCATAATTACCCGTGGGCTCCCCAGAAGGCAAGGCCCTGCTTGGTTTTGTGCACAGCATTGCTGTGCTCAGAATCTGCTGAATGAGAGCATTCAACAACTCTGTCCATTTCTTTTCTTTCTTTCGTTTTTAAAAAAAGATTTATTTATTTTTATTTATTTATTTATTATTTTTATTACATCACATCATGCGACACAGTTTGACAGGCACTGGGATTCCCCCCTCCCCTCCCCCAAACCTGCTCCCCCTCCCCCCATGGTGGATTCTTCCATCTAGTTGCATTACCACAGGTCAAATTCAGTTGAGAGTTTTTTCCTTGCAAGCATCTTCAAAGCATAGAGTCCAGCATCTTATTGTGCAGATAAGTTCAACAGTTTCATGGGGAGACAGTCTCTTGTCTGAAGGTACAGCCGAAAGAGTATCATCCCAATCAATTGAAAGCCCCAACATTACATCAGTAACAATTTATAATGTAATGGAATTAGTTGACATGGTATTATGTAACCAGCATGTTCAAAGAGAGAGAAACAACAACAACAACAATAACAATAACAAAAAAGAGTGCAAGTTCTGAACCACATCCTATGACTTCTACATTGACATTACAATTATTAGTTTATATACAGCTGGGTTCTATACACCTTAAAATGGCTATAGATTACTATTCAGCTGTCTCATGTCTATTGTAATTTTAGTATTTAGCAGTTCATAGCGTTGAAGCATGGTTTTGCAGAACCTGGCTGCTTTTGGGGGTAAAAAAGGATTTATTTTATTTTTTGAAAGGCAGAGTTATAGAGAGGAGAGACAGAGGGAGATCTTGCATCTGCTGGTTCACACCATAAACTTGCATTGGCTGAAGCTTAGCTGTTTGGAAACCAGGAGCTTCTTCCAGGTTTCTCACATGGATGCAGAGACCCAATGATTTGAGCTATCCTTCACTGCTTTACAAACAGAGAGCTGAATTGGAAATGGAATGGCTGGGACATGAACCATTGCCCATTTGGGCTGCCAACCCTGCAGGAGGAGGCTTAGCCTACTATAGCACAGTGTTAGCCCCCCTGCTTTTTTTTTTTTTAAGATTTATTTTGTTTTTATTACAAAGTCAGATATACAGAGAGGAAGAGAGACAGAGAGGAAGATCTTCTGTCCAATGATTCACTCCCCAAGTGAGCGCAACGGCCGGTGCTTGCGCTGATCCGAAGCCAGGAACCAGGAACCTCTTCCAGGTCTCCCACATAGGTGCAGGGTCCCAAAGCCTTGGGCCGTCCTTGACTGCTTTCTCAGGCCACAAGCAGGGAGCTGGATAGGAAGTGGGGCCGCCAGGATTAGAACCGGTGCCCATATGGGATCCCGGCGCGTTCAAGGCAAGGACTTTAACCACTAGGCCACATTGTGCCAGTTGTGCTTCTATAGATAGAAGTACTTTCAGCTATATGTGGGCTTGTTTTTCTGTGTATGTATGTATGTGTTTTAAAGGCAGAGCTGTAGAGAGGGAGAGATCATCCATCTGCTGGTTCACTCCCCAAATGCCTGTAATGGCTCAGGTTGGAGCATGCCAAAGCCAGGAGCCTGGAACTCCATCTGAGCCTTCCATGTGAGTGAGCAGCCCAGGCATTTGGGCCATCATCCCCTGTTTCCTCAGGATATTGGAGCTGGATCAGAAGTGGAGCAGCTGAGGCTTGGACTGGCGCTCATATGATATGCCAGCATTTCAGGCAGTGGCTTAATGTGCTGTGCTACAACGCCTGCCTGCCTGGAAAATTCAGTGCAGGGCATGAGCTCCTGCCAGACTGCAGCCGACCCACATCCCCCTGGGATGTGACAGCAGGAAGGCAGAGGGCCTGCCTGCAGCACCTGGAAATGCATCCCAGGTGGGAAGGTCGTGCTTGGGTGCCCTGTCCTCTACTGAGTTCCCAGGGCTTGTAAGGGGCCACTACCTCCTGGCTTGTTTCCGGCCAGAGCTTTGGGTGATGCCCAGACCTACAGGGTTCCCCCCCACGTTTTTTTTTTTTTCCATCCTGGGATCCTCAGCCCTGTTGCTTAAAGTTAGCAGCTCAGTAATGGAATGCCAAGGGTACCACTTGGTGGGGGGTCTGGTGTTGGGGACTAGCCCCAGCCCTGTCTCTGCTTCCAGTTCAGTGTGACTTGTCCAGGTCCCTCCCCTGATTTTCTCCTTGGCTTCGTGGTCCCCTAAGTGGCTGGTGTATCTGTGTTAAACACCTCTCTCTGTGTGTACTATTTTATTAGATGCTAAGGAGAGTGTGTCCAGGGCCCTTGCATTAACTGGGAGCTCCTTCAGCATGTTTCACTCTGCTTCAGCAGCCAGCCTTCACCCCAGGGCCCTGTTGATAATGAATACTGTTAACGCCAGCAGCTATGAGTCTGCGTGCTCACTGTTGGAAGATATGTATTTCTTTTTTTTCTTTCTTTTCTTTTAAGATTTATTTGTTTTATTGGAAAGGCAGATATACAGAGAGGAGAGACAGAGAGGAAGATCTTCCATCCAATGGTTCACTCCCTAAGCGGCTGCAGCGGCTAGAGCTGAACCAATCCAAAGCCAGGAGACTCCCAGTCTCCAGTGCGGGTGCAGGGTCCCAAAATCTTGGGCCGTCCTCGACTGCTTTCCCAGGCCACAGTCAGGGAGCTGGATGAGAAACAGGGCCGCCGGGATTAGAACTGGCGCCCATATGGGATCTCAGTGTGTGCAAGGCGAGGACCTTAACCTCTACACTATCGTGCCAGCCTGGAAGATGTGTATTTCTGTGTCAGTGGTTTTCTGTGTTTTTGGATCACTGTGGCATCCTTCAGAGTTCCCTAGACCTAGCAGGGGAACCCTCGTCAGGGCCCTGGTACCCCCAGTTTGCTTCAGCTGGATCAGCTTTCTTGTATCGGTTATATTTACCTGACTTCACTGAGGAATCATTTAGTTAACATGTAAAGGTGCAGACTTTGGCTGAGTTCATTTCTTGTCATCCAGTGGAGAGGGTACTGTTTGTTTGTGAGGAAGCTGGAAGCTGGCTCAGAGAGATTAAGTTTGTGTCTGGGGAGAGCAGCTTTGAATCGAAACCGTGACTTCACTGGCTGCCAGGTGGTTTTGCCATTGGCTGTGGCAGCTTCCAGAGGCAGAAGGTCCCACGATGCCCATGCCCTTTGGATGAGGCATGATTCTGGCCTTAACCCTGAGGTGCACTATCTTGGAAACAAGTTAAAAGGAGAGAGCCCCAGCTGTCCGTCCTAGACCAGTGGGTCTCCTGGTGATTGATCTGAACGTGTCTTGGTTACATGGACCTCAAGCTGGGCCATTTGCCCTCGCTGCCTCCAGCGTGTTCATCTGCTAGGCTCAGTGCTGGCCTCTGTGGGTGGTGGTAGCAGAGACACTGAGCCCAGGGAGCTGCAGCCAGGGGCAGAGAAGGTGGACATGAGAGAGAAGGCCCCACGTACCCTACAGTACACAGCTGCCCCGGACATGGAGCCGGGAGACCTGGGAGCTGTGACCAGCAGGCTGTGAGTGACCTTTGCTGTTGTCACTGGTGGTTGATGGGCATTGAGTGCTGCACTGTGCCTGGTCCAGTGTCACAGTGCCTCCCACCACCGCTTCCGACTCACTCACATAGCAGCCCCAGACAGGCACTGCTTGTTATTAATTCCACTTCATGGTAGAAGATGCTGACACTCAGGGGCAACAAAGTTTGAAGTTGAGCTTTTTTTTTTTTTTTTTTTTTTTTTAATTTATGTGCTCATTTGAAAGACAGAATGGCAGAGTTCTTCTTTCTGCTAACTGTCCAAGCTGCAAGAGCAGCTTGGACCAGGCCAGGCTGAAGGCAGGGCTCCAGCTCCCTGGGCCATCCTCTGCTGCGGTCCGAGGCACATGAACAGGGAGCTGGGTCAGAGGTAGAGCAGCCGGGGAACCCCAGCCTGCTCTCACATGGGATGCTTGTGTTGGAGGCAGTGATTTAACCCCCTTTATAGTGTTGACCCCTTGCACTGGTCCTTTTAGCCATTGTGCTGGTTAACCACTGCCTTAGGAATCCATTACCCTGCCTGTCTCACAGGCAGTGTGGCTAGGGAAACGTTTTTGCTCTGTGAGGTGAAGCGGGGTGAGGAAGTTGTGCTCAGAGGAATCCGTGCCATGGAAACATCATTTGTGATTGATGAGGATGTGCAGTGTGTGGCGGAGCCTATCTGTGCTGTAAATTCTGCCGACAGAGATGGGGATGCCTCGGGGTGAACATTGGGAATCCTGTCTGATACATTAGCTGCTCTTCCAGCAATGAACACAAAGCAGACAGCCATCCTATGCTGGGATCTGGGGCTAAAGTGGTGAATTGGACATCCCGGGGCTTATGAAGCCCTCGGTGTGCCAGAGAGGGGAGTCAGGCAGGAGGCCATTGGTGCTGTGGTCCCGTGTAACTCCTAGCTCCTTTAACAGGGTTGGGCTGCCCCTTTGAGCCACGGGGTTGTAAGGTCAATGGGATCGTGGCCTGTCTGAGCAAGGATGGCAGTGGGAATGCCTTCAAGCTATGCAGTATTGCCCACTGCTTAGGTCTGGCATGCTCATTCTGACTGGTACTTCTTTCTGCAGGGCTGCCCAGGAGCTGCAGGACAAGCGCCCGGAGCCCCTCCAGGTGGCTACTACCCTGGACCCCCCCACGGTGGAGGACAGTATGGCAGTGGGCTGCCCCCTGGGGGTGGCTATGGGGGTCCTGCGCCTGGAGGGCCATATGGACCACCAGCTGGTGGAGGGCCCTATGGACACCCCATCCCAGGGGGCGTCCCTCCTGGAGGACCCTATGGTGGGGCAGCCCCAGGAGGCCCCTATGGGCCACCACCTCCAAGTGCCTATGGAGCCCAGCAGCCCGGGGCTTACGGACAAGGTAAGTAGGTTGCCTCTGACCCAGTTCTACATAATCCACAGCCAACCCGTGGCCATCCTATGAGTATGCAGGCACCCTGGTCCCTGGCACCATAGCATCATTCTTTCAGCATCAGCCCATGTCAGCAGAACAAGGAGTCTGAATTGGCTCTGCGGCAGCATTACTTTTCTGTTGTTTGCTAGTACGTGTGTACTGCGTGCGTGTTGGCAGCTGCAGTTGGCTGCTGAACTTCTCCGCGTTTTTTCCTTCTGTACCAGGTGGAAGGAGCAGCCCCGTTTGGCATGTTGTCCTTGTGACAGGGTAAAACAGGAAGCAGGTGGGAAGGCACGTGCCCACTGAAAGTCCTGCCCTGATGCACCAGGCGTCTTGTCCACTCAGGCATTTGGCTGAAGCACATCGCCTGGTCAAGCCCGCCATCAGTAGCATGGGAGTGGGTGCTGCTGTGGAGCGAAGGGGATTTAGCAACTAACCTGCCTGAGGGGAGGCCCCTCCAGGATGGGGGCACCTGACTGCTGGCTGCAGAAAGACAGCACAGTGTCATCATGGGAATCCTGGCCTTTGACATCAGACCTGACCAGATGACTGTGAGCCTAACATCCTCATGTGTAAGATGGGGCAGTGCTGCCACCTCACAGGGTTGTTGACAAGGTTTGAGAGAGTGTGCAGGTCAGCCCTGGGCACTCTTTGGCCTGTAGGAAGTGCTTAATCAACAGCACTGCACCAGAGCTCTCAGCAAAGAGGGACTTGGCATCTGATGTGATGTTGGGCACAGCCAGGGCATTGGCACTGCGAGATGCCGAGAAAGGCAGGTGGGAAACCGAGGCCAAGGAGGAGACAGGGGAGGTCCTGGGCAGGATGGCAGGGCCAGGGCTCAGGCGTGAGCTTCAGCCACAGTGGAGACTTCCAGGCAGCTCAGACAGAGGTGAGGGGAAGCGAGTGTCTGTCCCTGCCCTGGCATCCCCAGCTCATTTCGGGAGCCTGGGAGCTCCAAGCCCTAGTGCACCCGAAGGGCCTCCAGAAAGTGGCATAGCCCTCTGCACCCAGGCAGGGGTCCCAGAGAGATGCTCAGCTGCCGTCCAAGCTCCGCAAGCTGGTGGCATTTATCTTGTTGAAGCCTGGAGCGTCTGGCCATTAGCTCAGCAACTTCAGGGTGGTTTCCATATCCCTTTAAAATCTTGCCCTGGAGCCTCCATGCGGTCCATGTAGGAAAGCAGTCTCGGACCCTGAGGCCAAAGGAGAGGGGGGCTACTTCTCAGACTGAACTGGTTCCTGGTCCTGCCATTGCTGCCCTCCCCCTCACTCCATCCCAGGGCAGCCTTTCTTAAAACACCTGCCATGAAGTTACCTGTGAGGTCAAGGCCCCACCCCACTAAATCCAAATGTAAAGGATGTAACCGTTTACACTGCCCTGCTGTCCTCAGCAGAGGGCCTACAAGGCCTCTAACCTCCTCCCCTGTAATCACCTTTCAAGCCAAGCCTCCTTGGGGTGCTGGAACCCCCACTGGCTACCTTCACTTTGCCTCATGCTATTCTCCCCACCTCAGCTCTGTGTAATGAGGCCGTCCTCGGGGAAGACCACACATGGTCTTGGCCTTTTCCTGTTGGAATCATCACACCAGCCTTGGGAAGTGGTTGGTTCTGTTTAGCAATGAGCAATCAGTACTCAGGAAAGTGTGCACTTTGCCTAACATCACACAAGTGAGTAAAATCACAGGTGTTTAATTCCAAACCTGCGCTCTTCTCACAGACCACAGCTGACACAGCACTTGTACCTGGAGCAGTGGGCCTTGTCGCCTCACCTCCATGGCACTGCTGGTTTGGGAGGGTGAGTGGAACCTGGATTTTCCCTGGCACATCAGGCAGGCCGCACCATGGGGTGTGGGTCGCTGGCTCCGCATGGCTACCCAGCTGGCCCTGGCCGTCTTTGGTGATTTCCTGTGTGAAGGGACCTCGGACGTGGCCGGTCAGCTCGGGGATGGGGCTATAGCAGGACCGCTTCACTTGGGCCTTTTCCTCTGGTAGACGGTGCTGCTGTTTCACTGCCTCCACCATCCTTTCCCTGAGCCTAGCTTACCTTCTCCTGGCAGTTCTTGATGTGCTGGAAGGGACTAGGTAGGACCCTGTTCCTTAGCAACAGGAAGTTGAATAGAGAAGTGACTGTACAGAAGTCTGAGGGAGCCCTGGTATACATACCAGCTGCAAATGCACGTGCGTCCATGCAGAAGGCTGGCAACTGACAAGAGGTAGGACAGGGAGCCTTTGCAGGTGAGCTGGGTAAGGCGAGCCCGGGGCTAGGAAGGCCCTGAGGTCTGCCTGTTCACATGGACGGTTCCCCAGTGCTGTCCTCTCTTCCAGGTGGCGCCCCTCCCGGTGTGGATCCTGAGGCCTACTCCTGGTTCCAGTCAGTGGACTCCGATCACAGTGGTTACATCTCCATCAAGGAGCTAAAGCAGGCGCTGGTCAACTCCAACTGGTCCTCGTTCAATGACGAGACGTGTCTCATGATGATCAGTGAGTTCTAGGCCTGCTCTGGGGCTTGGGCAGCGCCAGAACCACTTGCTGGTGGACATTCCCAGAATGCAGATTTTGGCCAGCGAGGCTTTTGGGGAGGAAGCTGGGTTCAAGACTGAGAATTCTTCTTGGCCCTGTCTCAAGTTAACCCTACTGTGGTAAAGGTGTCTCAGTTTTCCCTTCTGTAGAATTGGACTCCTGCACTGTAGACCAAGGGCCTGGGGCTCAACTGCCAAGCCTGTGGGGAAAGTACAGTTCTGGATGGGATGGGGCTGGGGTGGTATCCAGTGGAGGAAGCTGCTGCACCTGCTGCAGATGGGGCCCTTGGCCTGTGATGTTGTTTCATATACCATGGGGGAAGGACCGTGTCCGTGGCTCCTGAGAACCTTTGGCCATGCCCCCACCTTGCCATCTTAAAGCCTTCCTGTCTTCTCCCTCAGACATGTTTGACAAGACAAAGTCAGGCCGCATAGATGTCTACGGATTCTCGGCCTTGTGGAAGTTCATCCAGCAGTGGAAGAACCTCTTCCAACAGTATGACCGTGACCACTCTGGCTCCATCAGCTACACAGAGCTGCAGCAAGGTGGGGACCGGGGCAGGGCATGGTGGGGAGAGCAAAGCATGTCTCTCTCATTCCACAGATGCCATGTGTCCACTTGCATGCCACAATGCTGTCCGCAGGGCAGACCCACTGCTCCCATCCTTTCTTTGATCTGGCTGTGGCCAAGATCCAGGGCAGAGAAACACTTAGATTCCCCATTGTAGGGTAACAGCTTCAATCTCTGGGAGCTCTGGGGTGAAAACCTGGCACCCCAGAGTACTGGGTCAGTGTGTATGGCTGGGGTGGCTCTGTCCCCTGCAGTATGCAGTTTATGGAATGGAACGAGCCCTGTCCAGAAACCTAGGTTCTGTTGTCACTTCTGCCAGAAGCCATCTCCTTGCCAACTCAGAAACCCAGCACCTTAAAAGCATGTGGGTAAGTTGACCTGAGGCTGCAGCTGCAGGTGTGATTCCAGTGTAACTGCAGGACTGGAGCCTGTGGCCTGGGCTCAAGCCCGTGGGTGAGAGGACAGGTGGCTAGTGGGGTTATAGGAAGGCAGCAGGGAGCTCTGCCGCCTGGGAGCGGGAAGGAACTGCCTGGAGTGGACTTCAGTCACACCAGGGAGCTCTGAGTGGAGGTCAGCACTCTGCACCTACCCCTGGTTGAAGGGAGAGAAGATGACTGGTACTCTCTGCCCACTCTTGTGCCAGTTTCTGTTCTGGGTGTTGGTAAGGGTGAAGCTTACCACAGATGCTGTTTATGCACTGCTTTGTCATAAACATTTGAGTAGGTTTATATAATTGATTCCTGTGTACTAGCTACGGCTACCATTTAGGATTTCTGGACCCTGTGATGAAGGGTTCCTTGTTGCTCCTTTCTACATGTGAGAAGCTGAGGCTTAGTGTAGGTGACTTGCCCAAGAGCCCCCAATGGGAAGGTTTTAGCCTGGGTGGGTCTGTGACAGGGATGGGGAGCAAGGTAGAATCCTGGTGGAGGATGGGGAGCAGCCTCTTCTGTGGGGTGCTTATTTTATCCACGTAGCAGTCACTGATTGCCAGGCCCTGGGTTATTTGCTTTCATGATCCCTCCACTAATCCTCGTTGGCACCTGCCAAGCTGAGCATCATCCACACTTCAGGGTAAGACAGGGGCAGTGAGGCTGAGCAGCTTGCCTGAAGTTGACTGCAGAACCTCTGTGCTGCGCCAGCTGCCTTGAGGTGGACCTAGAAGACTTAGACCTCTTTTTAATGTGGAGTCAGGCGACAACAGGACCTTATCACCTGTGAGCCCTGTGAGCTCTGGTGGAACAAACCCCAGGGAATGTGCAGGAAGAGGACTGTGGCCTTCTGGCTGTGGGAGTGCCCACCTAGAGCCCCTGTTGTGCTCTTTATGCCTGGGGCAGAGCTTTAGGGCTCCTCTGTCCTTTGTCCTGGGAGCTCCTGTGTATCCCCTGAGCTGCTTGCCTCACGACAGGTTTTTCTGTGTTCTGTGTGTCCTCTCCAGCTCTCTCCCAGATGGGCTACAACCTGAGCCCCCAATTCACCCAGCTCCTGGTCTCCCGCTACTGCCCACGTTCTGCCAGTCCTGCCATGCAGCTTGACCGCTTCATTCAGGTGTGCACCCAGCTGCAGGTGCTGACTGAGGCCTTCCGGGAGAAGGACACCGCCGTACAGGGCAACATCCGGCTCAGCTTCGAGGACTTTGTTACCATGACAGCCTCACGGATGCTCTGACCCAGCCTGTCTGCAGCGTGGATTGCCCCGGGGGCCTCTCATGGCTCCTTAGAGCAGCGGGAAGGATGTGGGCCGCTCCTCTTTTCCTGCCCTTCCTAGAAAAAGATTCTCCTTTGCTGATGCAGCACACTCAGAGAGGCGAGAGTCCTGTGTGTCCACCAAATAATGGGGAACCTAGGTTGAGGCCACACAGTTAAGGATCTGACCTAGGAGAAAAGTGAAGGACTGAGCAGTTGAGTGGCACCGCCTGGCCCCAGGAGCAGGAGCTGCAATCACTGCAGTGCAGTTGGTGTGTGGCCAGCTGGGCTTGGGCTCTGGCTTTCCCTTCCACACCCTGATGCCAGGGTAAGTGCACTGGTCTCTTAGCACTAGCACCTGTTTCCTCCCCCAGACTGTCCTGTCAGATGAGTCCAGTTTTGCCAAAGTGGAGTTGATCTGGCCTGATCATGGGACCAGTGGCTTGCCATGTCCCACCCCCACAGTTCGCTGTGAGTCAACCTTCTAGCTGCCTTGGGGCTGTCTGTCCTGGGAGCAAGAACAGGTTGCTCCGGACACCTTGGACACCTTTGGCTCGGCTGTGCTCCTTGTGGCTTGGACCCCTCCCTGTCCTGCAGACTTTATTCCCCGGGGGACAGTTGTCATCTCCCACTGCCAATGCTTTTTTTGTCTGTTTGTTTGTTTCTAGTTTTTTCATTTGGGGCCAAAAGTCCAGTGAAACTGTAAGCATCAATAAAAGGATGAAACTCCAAGTTCCGCTTTTTCCACTGTGACTTCTCAGCTACGCTTGCCCAGTCCATGAATGCTTAAGTCCATAGGATATACCAAGCCATGCAGAACGCAGTGGGGAGCAGCGGGCCTGGCCTCCTGTGGTCATTTGCCAGGGTGAAGCTGCAGTGTCGGGCGTCTGGCAGGGAGCCCTGCCAGGTTCAACTCAGGATGACCTGCAGTTCAGCTCAGTGGGGTTCACGGCAGGGTTGGGGCTGGCCTTCTGGGTTGGGGGCAGCTACTCTGTCTTCACAACGTGGTCTTTGTATCCTCCCCGACCTTAGTTTTATCTTCCAGACAAACTCCATTTATGGAGTCCTAACCTCCCATTTTTATTAAACACAGACATCTGTACCTGCCAGTCAGATCTGTAGATCAGCATGACACCCACTCTTCTCAGAGCAGCTATAACGAGCTGACAAAATTTCAATCAAAAACTGAAGACACTAGCCATGCCTAGTTGCGGGGGGCGAGAGGGGGGGAGCTTATCACAGGTAACGGTGTGATTATCCTTGGGCTTTTGGAGATGAAGATAAAAGCTCTGTATCCTAAGCCAGGCTCTCCCTGCAGTGGGTGGCTGGGGAAGTGGTTGTGGCTGTTTGGCAGGTCAGGGAGGCCCAGCAGGCAAGTCGTGGTTGGCTGGTGCAGCCGCTTTCCTCTGGGCTGCTGGAGTGCTGGAGTCTAGAATCAGCTGGAAGGCAGTCCTCAGAGGCCAGGCTTCAGCCAGAGCTAAAAGCCCCCTGAGGGCCCCTTAGAGTCTAGATGCTGCTGCCTCCTGCAGTACAATTCAGTTCTGGGATGGGTATTTGGCACACCATGTGGGATGCCTTTCGTCATCCTAGTAGTAGTGCCTAAGTTCCAGTTGTGACTCCACTTCCAGTTCCAACTGCCTGCTATTGCACATCTGGGAGGCAGCAGGTGATGTTGGCTCATCAGCATGGCCCAGCCCCGGCCACTGCAGGCCTTTGGAGAGTGAACACCAGTGGATGGAAGGTCTCTGGCTTTCCGGTCTCTCTGATTCTTGGCCTTTCACATTAAATAAAATTGATTTAAAAAATTTAAAAAATCAAGCTGAGGTCTTTCCAGTAGTCCATTTTCTTCTCGATTGACAAGCCTTTTGCTTAATGATTCTAAATCCTGCCACCTTGAAAATAATGCTATTGGCTCAGGCTTGGTCCCTTGGACCCTCTTGGATATACCACGCCCCTTTCTGCACACCATCCCTGTGTAGAGGGTCAGGCTGGCCTCTGTGTCTTCCCTGGTGGGCTCCCCAGCAACTCCTCACTGAGTGCCACTGCTGGGCATCCTGGTCGCCTCCCCTGCATTTTTCCAGTTTCTAAGGCGTACAGATGGGTTGCCCTTGACTAACTGCAGGACAGAGCTACTGCTTTGTTTCCAAGGAGCTAAGGTGTAGCCATGCCCATCTTTAGAAAGGTGCCAACCATTGTCCCTTGCCTTGGTGCTCAGTTGGACTCAGAAGCCCTGGACCTCATGTGAGCCTTGAGCTGCCTCATTGCACACACTGCACCTGTGGGCTGGCTTGGGAGCATTGTGAACAGCTTTGGAGGCCAAGGCCAATGGGGGTATAGACAACCTGTCCCTTCTGGCAGCTGCTGGCCTGTGGGGAACAGGCCCCCATGCATCTGCTGTAGACAAAGCAGGTGCATGGGGAGCAGAGTGCAGCATCTGAACTCTCCTGAGCTGGACCCCTTCCTGCCAGGTGAAGTCAGAAGGCACCCCTAGCTCCTTGTAGTAGGTGAAGCAGAGCTAGTGGTACGCCGGACTGCTCTGGCCACAGGAGCAAGGCCTCTGGCAACCCTGTAATCATCACAGTGGCAGACAGAGCACGTCTGGCCAAGACTGCGGCTTTCTTGTCTCATCCTGAGTTCACACAAGAAAAAAAAAACACCCCAGAGATTTCCAAGAAGGTGAAGAGAACGGTAAATCAGTCCCCTAACCTGCTGTGTGCCTCCCTAACTGCCACCCTGCCCCGCCCCCCAGCCTCTGCCCTGGGTACCTTCCATAAACCACCGGACCATGGGCAGACAGGCATGCCAGGGCTCGAGGTCCCAGGAACCAGAGGCTTGGCATTGTGCCATGAGCACTTCCAGGTCTGCCTGTGAGTCCAGCTGGGATCTGGAGGGGTCAGCAGAGAATAGCATTCCATGGCCGCTGCTGTGTCTTTTCCCCTCCCCCAGCTTCCGCACTTTCCTCTACTCTTAGCCTTACGCGGAAGATCTTGTGCAATGACAAAGAAAGGGAACATTCAGTGCCAGGCTTTTAATTACAATTGCCCTGGGCTGCTGTCCTCTCTGCCAAATGGCCGCTTGGAGAGTTTTATCACACCACAAAGCTAACAAGGTCCAGTCTGTGGTGCCTGCATTTGGCACCTGGTAAGGGTGAGGCTGTGCTGGGGACGCTCAGGGTGACACCAGAAAGGGGCTGTGCCCAGGTGGTTCTGGGGTCCAGTGCAGTCCTGGGCTGTAAGGAATGGACTCCAGGGAAGGCTGTACTTGTTGGGGGGCGGTGAGGGGTGGGAAAGACAAAGCTCCAGCAGGATGATGGGGGGAGAGTGACCCTGGGGAGTATAGCCACGGGTGGGAAGTACAAGAATCACGCCCACGACACTTCACACTTTACAGAGAGGTTTCTGCTTTCTGGGACATGCGTCATCCTCCTCGCATCAACCCTGCGTAGGGGACACAGGCTCAGAGAGGGGGAGTGATTTGCTCAGAGGCACACAGGCAGGAGACCAGGACTGGAGAACCCCCTTCTCCCCAGCCTCTCGCTGCCTCCAGGAGAGGTAGGGGCGGGTTTCTCAGGAGCTGCCAGGACAGTCCCCATTCAAGGCAGCACCGTGGTGACACTGGTGAGCACCACGTGCTCCGAGATTTTGGAGACGGAGCACCGGCTCTGCAAGGACAAAGACTTGTGGCTGGCAGAGGAGCGGGTCCCCAAGTCTGGCAGGCAGCAGGAGAAGGCAGCCTTAAACTGTTCCCGGAATTTGCCTTGGTTGAGAAACAAAAGACAGCAATAAAGAGACAAATGCAGCTGGAAGAGGCCTTGAGCCCAGGGACACCCACGCATCTCCAGCCAAGCTGCCTGAAGGAAGGGGGAGTGGCTATGGAGCCCCCGCTCCTACCGCACCCCCCCCCCTGCACCCTCCCCCAGGAGACTTGGGCACTGTTGTGGAATGTGTGGGAATACAGGCCTAGAGCAACAGACAACCCCCCCACTAACAGACATCCCCCCACACCTCGTTGAGAAACGCAACTGTAATCTGATTCTTTGTGCTCTGGCTCAGAGCCTGGTTTTCTAGCTCAGGGTCCCCCGGTCACCTCTGCCTTCACCAACCCTGTAGGTGGAGGGTCTTGGAGCCCACGCTGTTGCCAGGCCTTGCCCAGCTCTCCCTGCTGGAGACTCCCCAGCAGCCCGTGGATGTGGCAGTCACCGTGCATGGGCCTGGTACCTCAGCCCCTGTCCTCCAGAGCATCCCAATACCAGGAGAGGTTGCAATCCTTTATCTTCAGTTTATAGATGAGCCACAGAGGGATACAGAAGCTTGTCCAAGGCCACCCAGCCAGCAATGTGATCCTGTTCTAATTGCAAGCCCTTCTCAAAGGGAAAGGAGGGAGTACCACACAACTTTGCTCGGTCCTAGAATGCCAGAGAACAGGCTGGGCTGGAATTGGCCCTCCCTTGCCCACCATGTGTCATTAGTCGGCCAGCTTCTCTGGTGCCCTACACAGTGCTCAGTGGAGATGGGATACTCAAAGGCATAGGGGTCAGAAGGCTGTCTGCCCTCTCCTCCCCCCAGTGCTCCCTCTCCTGTTCTGTCCCTTCCTCTGAGCTGGACTCCAGCTGGGCAGCCTTTGTTGAGAATAACCTGAATCTGATTGGGAGGTAGGCCATTGACCGTTATTCCTTCTTTAACCTTTTACTGATTGTTAGAGATCTGTGTCTAAGCTATGATGCTCAGCTGGAGTAGCTTTTGAAGTCCAGACCACAGTCAGATCTGGTGAGGGACACTGCTGCTGAGCTGAGCTGGGGGACCAGACCATGGCCACCCTGAGCCTGAGGGGTAGTGGAAGGGGTAGGGACTTGGAAACAACAAAGGGGAAGCCTGACGTGGGAGTGGGGTCTGGGGGAACTGGCCTTCAGAAGGAAGAGGGAGAAAAGTCAGGTGGATCCAGGACAGCCTCCAAGGTTCTGGCCACTCTTTTGGTATGACTTTGGCTGGGTCGGGGAGGCTATGTCCAGGGCCTGGGCTGCCTCTGACCCTGGCCCTGACCCCCGGATGCTCTGGTGTAAGCAGCCCCCTGGGGAAGATGGATGGCTCTGTCTGCGCTGTGTCTCCCACACAGACTCGGCTGCTTCTCCCTCCATCCCTGGCTTCTGCCAAGCTGTCCCCTGGCTACTGGCCCTGTGACACAAAGACCAGGGTTCTCAGAGCAGCTCTGTCCTCTCTGCCATCCTTTGGTCCTTGGACTGGGGAGAGGGAGACCACTGTCCCGAGCACTGTTGCCCATGCTTGGGCGCATTGAGCATGCCCAGCCTACTCACCACTGAGGAAGTTGTAGATGATGGGGTTGGCGGCGCTGTTGGCGTACACCAGCCAGTGGGAGAACGTGAAGCAGGCATAGACAGCCTCTCGGTCACTGGCTTGGCGGAACATCCCGAACACCCTAGGGCCATGGTGCAGGATGGTCATAATTCATGTGACTGTACATGTGTGCATGTCTGTGTCTTTGTGTGTCTGTATGTGTATGTCTGGGTGTGACTCTGTGTATGGCTGTGTGTCTCTATGTCTGTGTATGTGTGCATGTCTGTATGTTTGGGTATGTCTCTGTGAGTCTGTGTGTATGGCTGTGTATGCATGTGTCTGAGTGTATGTGTCTCTGTATCTAAGTCTCTGTGTCTGCCTATCTGTGTCTGTGACTCCATGTGCTCACACAACTCACAAGGCCAAGGGCAGGGGCTCCCA